CGAAATTAGACTCCTGGCGCGGGAATATGGCGTCATGGAGTCACACGTGAACCATTCGCGAAGCGTATTGTATCACTGCAAGCAGACAAAAAATAATGTTGGGGCAAACAGGCCAAAAGGAAGGCGACAGAGTGTTGTAATGCAGGATGCCAGCGGAGGATGCGCCCGTAGCGTAGCACGGGTAACTGCGAGTGTATCATAATCCTAGGTGTATCAAGGCGCCCTGGCACCTTCGATCATGTATTAATGGTTGGAAGTTGAACCGTGCGTGCTTCCTGACAGAATCTTGGCAATTATTTGAACCTCATGATCTGTCAGGTCCGAAGCCTACACCATAAATTGTGTGGCGGCGACAGCGGCGGCACCATCAGGGGTTTCTATGATTGTGCCCAGGATAGAGTGCTGCTGTGCTGACCGGGACATAGTCCGAAGTAAAGTCAAACGTCCCGGCGGTGCGCCTGGCTTGTATGAACACAGCTTCGCACGTTTTAGAGACACTCACAGCATGAGGGACACCAACTCTCGGCAGGGCTCAACAGCCAGGATTGCAGGTACAATGGCTTCATGGCGTGCTAGCTCTCCCAGTAGTTTGCAGGTCCAAAGGCAAACCATCGCATTTCGGGACTCGAGCAGTCCTTCAACGTAGTCGAGCACCTTTGCGTCCACGGCAGACTGAGCCCCCTCTTCGACCCTGACGATTCGAGATAGTGTCTTCGCGGACCTTTCAACCAAGACCGGATCTTGGTCACTGATTGAAAATAAGCACCTTCGTCGGAGATCGTAACCAATTGAGACGCACCGTAGGAGGGATACAAGCTGCACGCAAGGTTTCACACGCAAGACACGGGCCCTCGTGGACTGGTGACATGCTGCCTTTGCCAGCAACTCGCATGCCCATACTTTCACCCCAGTGTTTTGTGAATCAAGAAGTTCAACGACACAGTCCAATAGATGTGTGTCCACGACAGCCTGCGCACCTTCGGGTGATGTCGCAATTGAATCCAGTAATTTGGCTGCACCCTCTGCGACATCAGAATTGTCGTGACTGGTCTCAACATCAGCATCTGCTCAAGAAAGAAAACGATGGAGACCAACCGCAGGAGGACTATCAGCTGCTCCAGGACAAGTTTCGTCATTGACCCCGATGCCGCTATCGAATCCAGTAATTTGGCTGCACCGTCTACTACATCAGAATTGTCATCACTGGTCTCAGCATCAGCATCGGCTCAAGAAATAAAATCATGGAGTAACCGTAGGAGGAATACCAGCTGCTCCAGGACAAGTTTCGTCGTTGACCCCGATGCCGCTATCGAATCCAATAATTTGGCTGCACCATCTACGATATCAGAATTGTCGTGACTGGTCTCAACATCAGCATCTGCTCAAGAAAGGAAACGATGGAGACGAACCGCAGGAGGACTATCAGCTGCTCCAGGACAAGTTTCGTCATTGACCCCGATGCCGCTATCGAATCCAGTAATTTGGTTGCACCGTCTACTACATCAGAATTGTCGTGACTGGTCTCAGCATCAGCATCGGCTCAAGAAAGAAAATGATAGAGTGTAACCGCAGGAGGAATAACAGCTGCTCCAAGACAAGCTTCACCGTTGACGGCTGGTCTGCGAGCCCTTTCAGCATCTCGCACGTCCAATTCCGTATTTGACTGTTAAGTAGTATGTCGGCGCAATCTAGGATCTTTGCATCCACCAGAGTTTGTGCACCATGAGGTGATACCAAGATACGATCCAGCGTGTCTGTGGCACGGTTGGTCACTATGGGATTCCTGCCGGAGATAAAAAGTCAGTACCTAGATCAATAATTCAAATTCGGACTCACCGACAGAGGGATATAATCTGGCGAACACCGGCTCTGGCCGTGATTTCGTGGCGGACCAACTCTTCCAGCAGGTTCCACGTCCACTTCTGGATCCACCTGTTTGGTGATTCAACGAGGAGGGGCAGATATTCAAACACATTTGCGTCCACGGCAGCCTGTGCACCTGCAGACGATTTGGAAGTCTGCCACAACGTGTGGGCCGCACCTTGAACAAGTCTGACATCGTCGCCGCTAAAGAAAATCAACATCTGGCTGCTAACCAGATCGTCGAGACTCACCGAATGAGGGATACCATCTGCTCCACTGCTGCTCTCATAGTGATGTCATGGCGCGCCGACTCGTCGAGAAGGCTCCACGTCCACTTCCGGACCCCGGCAGCCGGCGATTCAAGGAGATCTGGCACACATTGCAGCACATTGGTGTCCACGATAGCCTGCGCGCCTTCGGACGATCCAGTCGACTGACATAATATCCTGGCCGCGTTCTCGACGACTTTGGGATGCTCGCTCCTAAACGGTGATTAACGCAGTTCCGTTCATGGTGGTTGAAGCTTACCGCAAAAGAGAAGCAATATGGCCCACTGCTGCCTCTGCCGTCGTTGGGTGGTGCACCAGCTCTCTGAGCATATCGCACGTCCATTTCCGGACCCCAGTGCTCGGCAATTGAAGCAGTGTATGCACACATTCGAGCAAATTTGCGTCCATGGCAGCGCGCGCACCACCCGGGGATGTAGAAATCGAACTGAGTACTTTTGCCACACTTTCCACGACCTCGGAATTTTCGTGCCTGAGTTCAAAATAAGTATTTAGGCATCCAACCAAAATATAGGGCTCACCGGCAGAGCACTACCAGATGCGCTGATACAACCGCCATTGTGGCCGGTTCGTCTGCCAATATTTTCAGCATCTCACACGTCCACTCCCGCATTTGGCTGTCGTCAAGCAATGGGGCCACGGCATCAAGGATATTCCCAGCGACCAGTGCCTGGGCGCCTAGAGGAAAAGTGATGATGTGATCCACGACGTTGGCGGCGCGCTTGGTCACTGTAATATTCCCGCTCCTACCAGGGATTAATACTTCCTATAAGGCACGGTGGTCCAGACTCACCTCAAGAGTGATACCATCGTGCCCGTGGCCGCTCGAGCGGTAGTATCATGGCGTACGAGCTCCCCCACGATCTCACGAGGCCACTTCTGGACCTTTTCATTCGGTGATTCAAGGAGCTCGGCAAGGCCGTCGAAGACTTTCGCATCCACGATAGCTTGCGCGCCCTCGACGCATTTAGCAATCGAGGACAGGCTCTCCGCGGCGCCCATGACGACTTCGATATCTATGGCCCTGGTTTCGAGTGGTGAAGGCCGGCGTGTGAGCGAAAGGGTGGGGACTCACGACAGGAGGGACACCAGCTGCTGACATGGAGTCCAACGCAGGACCGCCGGTATTGCTGTTTCGCGTTGTGCCAGCAGTCCCAGGATCCGGCACATCGACTTGCAGATCGGTGGGTCTGACGAGCTCAGGAATTCATCGGCCAGATGTAGGACAAATGAATCCGCTACTACGCGTGCGTCATCCTCAGATTCGAGTCTTGTCTCGAGCTCAACTAGAATTGCGGCCTTGGTGGACGACGATACATATTTATAACTACGAGATCAGTCAGCCACAAGACGTGCAGAAAGAATGAAGAAAAATGTACGCCAGATAGCTTGAATAAATGTCCATATCCTCGCTTGAAAGGGGAATCCCACGATTCTTGGCGATGAGGGCCAGTGCGTCGCGTCGATACATAAATCTCATCAATGGCTTCGCGGCGGCATGGAGATCGATCGTCGGACCCACTGGGTTCCTATCTGACCACCAGCTGTGCAGACTGTCTCGGGTCGGCTGGCGAGTCAATGGGTGGTGCATGGCCGGGGGAGATGGTAGTGGGAAGAGAGTGGGCGTCTCGTGGTCAGCCAGACTGTGTGTATGCCGGCATAGCCCAACATGCCTGTCATAAGGCTATGGTACTGCATACCTCTGCCACTTCAGGGAAGACTGCTGTAACTGTTCGTGAAGTTCCTAGTAAAATGACATCCGGAGAGCTATAGAGAAATCTAAGTTATCCTGGGACATCTGTTGTATCGACAGGAGGTGCCCCAGTCGTGGGATCGAACGTAAGCTTTGCACTCGTTGAGGGCCTAATGAGCGCTCGTGAAGCGTCTATCGTGACGGCTAACGTGATTCAGGTCCGATGTCTTGTCGGGTTCCTGCGATGCTGATGGTGCGTCGACGAGCTCTTGTGGCAATGCGACCATGGCGGATGAAAGGGGAAGGTATCTGGCTTTCTGTGGCGTAGACTGGTCATGATCGTGATCACCCCGCAGGATCGAAATGCGGCTCAGCTAATTCATTGAGAGAAGGAATCCAAGACCATCTCTTGGTCGACAGCTTACTCGGCTGGACCCAGCCTCCATCGATATAAAGCTCGGTTCCTAGAATCCCGTGTGCCGGCCTCCAGAAGGCGGATTTACACCCTATAAGCACACCGAGTTATTAGGCAGAACCAAAAGAGGCGGTGAATAACCAACCAACGAAAACCGACTCCAACAAAAATTGAAGATAGCAAGGACGGTCCAAGCCGCTCCCTAATTTGACCTTGCGAGTGGTGAGCAATGTCTGAATAGGAGACTTTTAAGATAGACACGCACATGTGGCGTGATCGTATTTCCTTCCGCGGGTTGAGCATTCCTAGGGAATGCGAGTGAATGCGAGTACGAAGGATTAGAACTAAGCAATATTAGAACCTGGGTCCATGAATCGATTTACTAATGCTTGTGGGGTGGGCGGACGGACCTGTGCATTGCTCTGGAAATAATGTTGTCGTTGCGTTGCCCGCATTGGCGGGCGAATATCATGAAGCTTGATGCGTGGGTCGATGCATTGAAGAAACCAATGATCCATCGCCCGAAAACCCTGCCGAGGGAACAAACAGAACAACAAGTCCCAGCACATGAAACCCTTGTGTACCTTGAGTACCGGGGCGTCGTTTTCGACGGTAAGTGGTGGTGGTAACATTGCAACAAGGACGTGCCGGTGCTTTGCGACGACTCTGCACCCTATTGACCACGCGAGTCAAGTCAGAGAGATGTACGCAGTGAGAGCGAAAGAAGTATGCATCGTCTCCAAGCCGCCAAGGGGAATCGAACCCCCGTCTTCCCCTCCGATGTACAATGAGCTGGAATCACATTTCGAGGATGACCTTCCACTGGTCGACGACGGCTTGTTACCCTACGAATACCCCGAGTGAAGGACGTCAGTGTAGCATCCGGTAGATGCGCGGCAGCGGAATGTGGGAGGCAGAGAGAGGGGCGGGAGGGAGGGACGAGGGGAGAACTCAACGGACCTGGGCATGTATAGCGAGGCCGCGTGACGCGCCAAGAGTCACAGCGCAGGGCGAGATAGTACGCGGCGCAAATGTGGATCGCAAGTGGCACAGAGTAACAAGCCGCGGAGAGCGTATTCCTACGCGCCGCGCGCAGGCGGTAGGCACGACGGGAGAGAACAGGCGAAAGGTGGCAAAGATGATGTATAGTACGGCCCGGTGGGGTTAGCAACATCCGAATGAAATACAGACCGAGATTGCGCACCCACGGGGGGCGCATCCAGCAATATGCAATCGGCGATCGACTGGAATGAGGTGCGTCGTACGCGCCTTTGCGTACATATCACTGTCAGGGCGCTAGCATCCATCGTGAGTTCATCCTCGCCAGAGGAGCCGCACGACTCGGTCACTCAGGAAAGCGCCGCCGCGGGCGCGTTACCGGCGGCGCGCTTGATCCAGACAGAAGAGCTCTGGAGTGCGGTCGAGACGCTGGTTCTCGGAACATGGAGCTTGGGTGCGAAGGACTGGTGGCGCGCGGGGAGACGGCAAACGAGATGGTGGTAGGAAGCAAGCCTCGGTTTGATCCGCATTTTTCCACGTGGGCGATGAATGACGCGAGGGTGATGTGTCAGATTTTATTCGATTCGCACAGTTCGCCAGTGCATATGCGCCCGACCTCTCTGACGCCACCGGCTCCCAGTCGGAGAGGAAATATCAATAAAAAACCTGCTGCTCGGAAAAAAGGATCTGCGGCAACGCCACAACGGGGAAATCGTCACATTGGCTTGATCCTGGTTGTTTGTGATGCGACTGGGATGAAACGAAATCAGGCTCCTGGCGCAGACGTACGGAGTCATGGAGCAAGACCCGAGCCACGATGGGCGGCGCATCATATCACTGCAGGCAAACCACAAAAAAAAACGACAGCAACAGTATTCACCACGGTCCAAGCCCGAGTCGAACGGGCGTCTCCTGCACGGAGTTTCAACGCGGCGCTTAGACGACGCAGGTGCGGGCCACTCCGCAATTGGACCATGCTGGTATGGCAAACGACCTGGTTAGATGCCTGAGTTTTTCACATTCATTCAAGGCGGAGGCATACGTTCCATATTCAGCAACGATCCAATGCAGATTATTACTGGGACGACCGAAATAAAAGGAACGCGGGGATTGGATCGGAGCAGAGGGGTCGAGGAAAAAGAATCGCCAGTTCCCGATGCCATGGTCCAAGCCCGAATCGAACGGGCGTCTCCTGCACGTGATGTCTTCTTGTGTAATGCGACGCAGGTGCGGGCCTCTCCGCAATTGGACCTGAATAGCCCGCAGGTGAGCCGTGCTAGCTGGACATTCGGCAGAGTGCAGGCTGATCCCTAGCAAACCTGCGCTTGAAAGTCGCCGACTCACCGACCATTCTGGAAGATGCCCTGGCCCAAATGCAAGAAGTAAAAATACATTGTCACACTGATGATTGTGAGCCCGAGGAACTTCTCAGCCTGGCCCCGGATTCAAGTCGAGTAGCAAGACACGCTCGAAGCAATGCAATTGATCTACTGGTTGTAACTTACCCGTTATGGGACAGACAACAAAGGCAACAAAGGCGCACGGGCGCTCGCGGCGTACAAATGCGAAGTCTGCAGCACGCGATGCAGGCGCGGGGATCGACCCGACTGGACCTAACGACTGCTGGGAAGAGCCTGAACTGATGCAGTAAAGGGCCCGGCTGCGCAGCCCGAAAACCCGCACAAAAAGCCGACGCCCATCCATGGTCCAAGCCCGAGTCGAACGGGCGTTTCCTGCGTGCGTCTATTATGCCATTGCGGCGCAATGCAAGGCAGGTGCGGGCCACTCCGCAATTGGACCTTACAAGAGCTTAAAAGAGCCTGAATAGGTAGTTAAATTATTGTGAGGAAAAGGAGTCGACGCACGGGTGGGTATGAATCATTGGACGCCCTCCTCAGCACCGAGACGCTGCCGGGACTGGGGACGATTAGACCTCAATTGCGCGGACTCCGCCCCACGCACATGATAAACTCCGAAACAAAACAATTCCTGCGAGGCGCGATCATTGATCCAAGCCCGAGTTAAACGGACGTCGCCTGCATATGCACCTACTTCGAATTTTAGGGCGGGCCGCTCCGCAATTAGACCTGAACCTGAATAAGGTGGTCTTGAACCTGGTTTGATTGGGCAAAATTGAGGAGGCGAAGGCGAACGTACGGATGTATGTAAAGTCCCATAGTGCCCGCGGAATAAATTACATGTAGTCTAACTGGCAATTGAGTGCTCAACCTGCCGAGGGAGCCATACCCTCCCGGTGTCGATTCCACCAAATCGAAACGACAAAGGGCCATCGCTAGAGGAAGCCAAGGTGGAGCCCCGGATCGAAGGGGTGTCTGCACACAATGCCTTGAGCATATAATATAAGGCAGGTGCAGGCCGCTCCGCGCAAGAGGTGCGCGATCTCTGGATCACGGCTTTTGATCGGGCCACGCGAGCGAGTCCGGCAGTTCCGAAAATCTGCCCAGATATTGGTGAAGGTAGTAGAGTGCACGGACACACCTGTTGGATCTTGCAGTTTCATCGTCGGACGTTGCGTTGCTGGGAATTAGCTGCAAAAGTCTCAGAGTGCGGTGAGTCAGCGAAATACAGCACACGCACATGCCGAGGAGGAAAAAGAAATCACGGAACAGCCCCTGAATGACCCAGACCCGAGTCGAACGGGATCTGCGATTAATATTGCAGTGCGACGCGATGCAAGTGCGACCTCGCCGCAATTGGCCCTGGGTATTACGCAGATGAGCCTCGGTGGGTACATTGGAGGACATAGTATCAAACCGACGGAATGGCCTTGCGGCCTTGCGTACCTTGCATTCCCAGAAGTCGGTGCTGCGTCTCCGTAGGCCATTCCGAGAGGTCGCCGACAGCGTTGGGACTCCACGGATCCAAGTGGAGGAGCCACAGATAGGGGGGGGATAGCGTCCATTGGTCGAGGACGGTGTCGTGCTCTGTCTACGAAACTAGCTTAGTATACACTTCAGGAAGTAGACACGGAAAGCAAAAACGGATATCTGTACCACATTTCATAAGTCCTCGAGGGCATTCGAACCCCCGTCTTCCTCGGATGGATACGAATGAAAGTAGATCATCCGTTTTCGAGGATGACCTTCCACTGGTCGACGCCGGCCGGTTACCCTATGGACACCGTGCGTGAAGTTGGAGTTGGTTTGACGCGCGACAGGGGAATATGGGAGGTATACGGCCGGACGGGAAGAGAGCAGAGAGGAGAGAAGACCCGGCGCGCCTAGCATGCAGGGCGACGCAGCCCCCCGGATAGCACACGGCGACTCGAGAGTCAAGCGCTGGGCAAGCTAGTACGCGGCGCGAAGTGGCGTGCCTGGCGGGCGGAAGGGGAGCCGCGCCGCGCGCACAGGAAGCAGGTGCGCTGCGAAAGCGCGCTGCGACCCGAGAGGAGCGATGCGAGAACGTATACGTAGGAGGTGCCGAACGCACGCGGCACGAACTGGCGTGCACGCCGAGCGGCCGGGGAGCTGCTGAGAGCGATCTACAAACGGCGTGCTCAGGAATCAAACGAGACGGGACAGAGCACGCGCAAGTAGGGGGCGCCGCTAGCAGAAGACGGAGAGTCCAGGCACATTAACCCCATTCCTGGGGCTGGCCCAGTCCAATGAAATATATATGGACGCACCCACCCAGAAACATGGACCCAGATCGACCGGACGAGACGTTGCGTGCGAGCCTTGACCTAGCACAGCACCCAACGCACATCCTCGCCCAAGACGTACCGCACGACGCGTTGAAGGAAAGCGCCCTGGATGCCGCGATAACAGCTCTTGACCGCGTTAGGGGCGCTGAATTTGAGCGCAGGGAGCTTGGATGCGCAGGACTGGCGGCGCGCGAGGAGCCGGTGAAGGAGATGGTGGTGGGAAGGAAGCAGGGCTCGGCTTGATCCGGATACTTCCGATGAATGACGCCGGGGTCATGTGTCAGATTCATTCGATTCGCACAGTTCGCGTCGCCCGACGTCTGACGCCCCCGGCGCCCAGTCGGAGCGGAAATATCAATAAAACCCTACTGGTCGGAAAAAAGATCTGCGACAACTCTGCCAATTACGCAACGATCATGTTGGCTTGATCCTGGTTGTTAGTGCTGAGACTGGGATGGAACGAATTAGACTTCTGGCGCGGGCATACGGCGTCATTGGACTGGGCGCGAGCTAGTTACGAGGCGCATCATATCACTGCAGGCAAACCAAAAAATGAAAACAACAGGGATTACCCACGGTCCAACCCCAAGCCGAACGGGCGTACCCTGCATTTAGCAGCGAATTTTCAAGATTGTAATGTCGTCGTTGCATTGACTGCGCTGGTGGGCGAATAACACGAAGCGCCCCCTCCGCGATTGGAAGTTCCCTGTCCTCAGAAGCACCTGAATAGGTGGACGTGACGGATGCATGAGTGCCTGTACAAGCGAAGGCCTACGATTTTTCCGTGACTGGGACGCAAGTGAGGTTAATTGCGGGCATGAATAATAACTACAGTGCACGCATTGGGCATCGCCAAATTGAATGTCGGTGAAGTCATACCAGCGATTCAATGAAAAGACAGACCCGGACTCGAGGATGGGTTGGTTTATGCAGAACCCAAATTGCAGCCGAAACAGGTGCCGAAATGCAATCGAAATGACTGGATTCGGCAAGCTTTCAAGTGCACAGGAATTGGTTGTTTCGGAGTGGACTTTCACCATGCCTAGGAAGCCGCTCCTGAGCCTTTGAGTTTCTAACAACCAGTTTCCGTGGCATTTGTGGCTTGACCGACGAAACAATAAGCTCCAGCCACGCTGAAACGGCTACTTTCGTATTCTGAGCCGGCCGGAAACTT